AAGAAACATTAACACGTCAATGTTTGAAAATACAACAGATCTCCATTACTTATTAATTTGTTTCACAAAAAAATAGCTTAAGCTTTGAATAGCTCTGCTCCAAACCACTAGAATATGGAAATAACTTTTACTGTAACGTCTGATCACACTGCAAAAAAAGTGATGCTTTTCTGTAGTGCTTCTGTCTTGTTTTCAGTGCAAATATCTAAAGATTCTTAATTTAAGATGCGCTTGCTTGAGAAGCAAAATCACATTAGATAAGAAGTCTTGTTTTCTGTAAAACTGATCAAAATGAAGTGAGTTTATGATTAAAACGAGAACAAATATCTGCCAACAGGCTTAGAAAAATCTACTTAATTCAAAGGGAAAACAAGTTTTCATTCCCCACTGACAGATATTAGTCCTCGTTTTAAACAAACACGCTTGATTTCGTTCAGTTTCTCAGACGACTTCCACTTCTGAAAACTCCAGAAATGTGAAAAGGCACATGAATTATAGTCTTGTTTCGGTGATTTTAAGTGCTACAAGTATAACATATCTTGACTTAAACTTCAAGTACATTACTCAGAAAGCCGGCGCAGGGAAAACTACCTTTGTCCTTCTTCTTGAGCTTCTTGTTGCGGGTGCCCTGCCTCAGGTACGACAGGATCTGCGTCAGTTTGCTGATGACTATGTCATTAGTGGTGAGCGTCGTCTGAGCCTGAGGAACAAATACAGCAGTTTGACAAGACTTTAAAAATCATCTAGTGCAGTCTGATCATGCAACCTCACCGGAAACCACAATGCACCTTTTCTTTTCATGTCGTAGCCCTGAACAACATCAAACTATAGTTGACGTGACATGATTTTTTTTGTGGTCGGTACTAAATACAGGTGGAAAATGTTACAAATGTTGAGATCAGATCACTGAAACCACATCCAGATGCAGACAAAACACATCTGTAGTATCAATTATGACTGAAACGGATTCTTATTCTTTTCATTCGCCTACTTGCCTGTTCAATCACAAGCTACGTAATACGGCTTCGTCCTTTTAGACTTTAAGATTTCTAATTTGAAATCAGAGGGTTCATAAGTAAGGAATAATTGACGACGAGCCGTTGAATTATTAGAAAAATAATGCACACCCGAGGTGTAACGGCCACCTCGGGTGTGCATTATTTTTCTAATAATTCAACGGCCTGTCGTCAATTATTCCTTACTTATACTACGGGGCCGTTGAATGCTTGAATCTGATTGGCTGACGAACGTTCTGAGGTGTGCAATTATTTTCAGGGAAACGCACGGCGAACGTAGTTCCAGGCAGCTCTCTTGACCGCATTACAGTTCCATATCACTTCGCATAGTTAACTGTAATAACGGAAATTAGCATACAGTACCTATACAGCACACAGGAATTACTGCAATCACATGTGCTCGCACACTCATACGGTCACGCAGTTTACACTAAAAGGTGTTGTCAGCGCTGCCCTGACGATTTTATCAGTTAGCCTATATAGTGTAGCAACTTAAAGGCTACACATGACATTTCTCACTAGCGAGGTAATAACAGCGCTGTTTAGAGACGCTGCTGCAGAACACTGTTGAGGGACGCACAGAGGTAGCCTAATTCACACAAGCTCTCTCTCTTTTTCTTTCTCTTTCTCTGTGTGTCTCTGTCTCTCTCGCTCTCTTTCTAATAACTTCATTAATAACTGCATTAGAATGCCATCAACGGCTCAAGCCTCCATTACCAGCTTTACAATGACGTTTTGGAACTAGCAAAAGAGGCGTTGGATGAGATGCGGAAGAAAGACTCCTACTCACAATAGCGATTTAAGTACAAAGACCGGACGAATCCCTTTAAATATATCATCTGATCGATGTCTTGAGGTGTGGTAACCGTAGTATAAGCGGAATAATTGACTCCGGGCCGTTGAATTATTAAAAAAATAATGCACACCCGAGGTGTAGCGGGTCCGAGCATCACCACCTCGGGTGTGCATTATTTTTCTAATAATTCAACGGCCCGTCGTTTATTCAATGCATATCTGTCAAAAAAAGTGCATAATGTTTAAAATAATGTTTATAAACCAATTATAATTAAGTTGCTTAATTAACTATAAACAAAACAGCGTCATGTATGTATGCATTGTTTTATTGGATTTCCACCCTTTGTATTAAACTGAGTACACTTTTTCATTTAAAAACATGAGCTGCAGTAGGATGGGGAAAAAAACCCCGCCATAAAGTCTCGAGATATGTTTTTTTTTTCAAAGTTGAACTTGCATTAATTTTACATGGCTTTCTAAACATGCGGATCTTTTGTGCGAGACACGAGTGCAATGGTGATAGATGTCCCTCTAGAACATCTGATAAATATGCGTTCTGTGTGAACGGCTTGGTTTCGGTTTTGATGTAAACAAGATCTTCTCCGCATTGATGTTCTCTTTTCCCGCAATATTTTGAATGAACAACGCAGCAGCACCGCATTTAGTGGCT